AGAAGTATGAGCAGAGGAGGACTGGGGTGGAGCCGGTGGGGTTGGCATGCTCATGTTCCTGGGCTTAAAAACCATCTTGGCGGGGGGAGGGTTGGACTGCCGACCGTGCGCGGCGCCGGACCTTTTGGCGGCTCCAAATGAACTGCGTGAATTGGCTTCGCGTGCCGCTCTTCGTTGAATTTGTGCAGGGGTGATTACATCGGTGGTGAGAGTTGTACGGCGCACTACCCGGCGGTGAAGGTAAGGACAGAACAAGAAAAAAAGATTCAACGTTAGGGGGGTGAAATTTATGCTAGAGACAATACTGCTACGTGGATTGGAGTGTCTGCGTCTTAGGAAAGAAGGCAGTAAACAAAATAGGATACGCGTGAGTACACCGTTCTTCAGGAAAAACAGGTAGAAATTGGCATCACTGCGTTAATAAAAAAAATCAAGAGGCGCACATATACGCATTCGATCGACCACATATCTGGCATCAGGGCTTCTTCGCAAGAAAATGACCTAAAAGTATAACTCTTACCATGCAAGTCAGTCCTGAGGGAAGTAACGGTGAGGTTATGGAGCAATTACGTCGTTTGGACGCATGAAAAACCCAGCAAGGTAACTGAGTCAACTGAGAAGACAGCATTCGTGGATGGATACGTCATCGGATAATTCAGTTTAGCAGTACAACGGGCTTTTCAAATTGAGTCGACATTATTTTCTTCCCTCTAGTCTTCCATGCTAATTTTCTTATATACACGTCGGTTGGCCCAGTTCGTCCATTATTAACTTATTATTATCCCTCCTTATCATTTGAACTACGATGAGGTTACCAGTGCGCGATGCTAGTGCCGTTTTGAAAGCAGTTCAAATTGGCCCACATTTGACCAATTTTCCAAAGACATTTGCCCACGATGTCGAAAATTGCAGCCATTGACGATTATGGGTTGCTTTTGGTTTCCACCGTGCTGTAAGTTTGTGCGCCTACCTTTATCCTTTGTGAATGGAGGCCTTTTATGCCGAAAATTTTGAATTTATATTTTCAAAATAAAGCGTATCTCTTTCCTTTAGATACGAAGCCCTAGGACCTCGAAGTCGGTCTTGTATACTCGTTTCAAACAGGTATTTCTGATAGGGCCAAGATATGAATATGAAATATCGAAGTCGGCACACAATTTGTTTCCACTTTTGGTAACTAAAGGTGAGAAAACCACCGGAAGTAGTGCATACTCAGTTGGAGAGATAAGAGTACAACTGCGGTAGGTTGTCAAAAGTTGCAACCGAAAACGTTTAACGGTATGGTTAAGTAGGAAAACTTAATTGCCTTGTCAAAGGGCGGTACCTAGGCCGGTGGGGGTGTGAACAATAAATGCTAGTGAAAAGCAAACAGTTTTAAAAGTACAACGCATTCACTGACTGTCTCTTACTTTCTCTCTCCGCTTTGAGTTTCGAAGCTGAACGGTGAATAAAGTGATCCAGTCGTTTGGAGCGTTCTGCTGCAAGTCGACTGTACATGTTGGACCAGGTCTCCTTGTATCGGGGCGTCAGGTTTTTGTATTCTGGGAAGTCGCGAAGAACATGCCGACGCCAGAAATCATCAGTAAGGCCATCAAATTGCTAAAAACAGAAGTGAAAGAGTCTTCGATGATAATTTAGGCAGAGTGAATGCAGAAGCGCAATCCTGCAGTGTAAAAAGACGATGTGATGTCTGCCGTGCATGTGCTTTATTTAGCGACGGACTTCATTTATCCCCTATAGCGTGTAAGGACTGCTTAAAATACTCCTTCATTAGAACTAAAAAAATATTTTAAAAAGGACAAAACCAGGCAGGGGAAGTATTATGAACCAGAAAAATGGAGTGCGTAACTATAAACAGGACACAAATATGGGATAAGGCGATTGTCCTCTTGAGCCAATCCAGAGAATGGATAGGGATCAAGCCAGTTGGACAGTCATTTT